ATTATGTTTAGCAACTGTACTTTGAAAATGTATAAATACTGATGTAAATTCATTTATTCTGCTTTAGATACTGAAGATGGAATCTGATCGAATTCCGAAACGTTTATCCATGTCCCCTTTTTGTCAATAAACAATGTTGTTTATCATAAGTGTCGTAATCTTGTTTATAATCAACTTCATTTTCCTTCGAACACATCGATTGCTAATCCATCACACTATTTCTACCTTTTGTAAAATAAAAATTTTTGATAATGTTATGTGGAACACTGATGATGGAATATGAAAACACTGAAACATCCACTGGAGTTTATCAATTCAAAAGTACTTGAAAATGATTTTCACCAAAAATGACAAACAATTTAATTTTAATCATAATTTGTAATTATTTCTAATTAATGTATCTCATTATTGCTTGTAATTTGTATTAAAAAATAATTCAGCTTCAAATATGTAGCAAACAGGGCCATATTAAGTGTGGGGCAGAAAGAGCAGCTGCACCAGGGTCCCAACCAATTGGAGTCCCCAACAAAAAGAAAACTTGAAATTTTCATTCATTGTATGTATTTGTATTTATTAGGGGGCCCCAAATGCTATTCTGCTGCCCCAAGGCCGACCTGACCTAAATCCACCCCTACCAAAAAAATATTTATCATGTACTTTTTATAATCATTTAGTCATCAATGTGGTGATGTGACAAACACACTCACAATGTTTCTAGTTTGACCAATCATTATAAAACCTTATAATAAAAAGGCATATCAAAAATAAAAACAGATTTGAAAATTAATGTAAACTGAAGAACATTCAAGCTTTTAGATTTTATCAACATGACAGAGAAAAGCTAATATCATGATAGTGTTTTTGATACAATAAAGTAAAAGTACTTAAAAAAAGCAGACCTTAAATAATATCAACTAAATGAGAGAAAGACTGGCAAGTTAAATGCCAGCAATCATGGCTTTGGTGTAAGCAATATTAAAAGTAATTAAAGTTAAAAACAAACAAAAAGAATTACTGTAGATTAATGTATTCTAAAAGCAAACAGTGTAAACCTAATTAATTAGAAGTTACGAATGAAGACAATAAACACATATACGAGTACAGAGGTTTTAATATAAGTGTCTTTGTGAATAACACTGCACCAATATCTTTATATAAAGAACTTTAAAAACTTGCTTTACAACATCATATATACTTGGAAAAAATACAAAGAGATCGCCTACTTAAAACCTCAGAAATAAAATAATTAAGTAATACCTTAATAATATCTATCACAAAGAAAAATATTTTTAAAGACTAAGTTTCTTTTCTTTGGCAATGTATGTCAGTAGTCTAGAAAAGTGAGTTTTAACCTAATTCTCTCTAAAAAAAAAAGGCAATTACTGGTAGGCTTTCTTATAAAACAGATTTTAAAGAAATGAATTTAATTTGAAACAGCTCTAGTCTTTTTATAATTCAACATTACAGACCTGTAGAGCTAGATCCATAAGAGATTGAGGCACTGGCTGGTTTGCTCCTTCCAAATTCCTTACAATGTGTCCAGCAAACTCCTTATCCTTTTCTGTCACAAGTGTATAAGCTATACCCTTTTCTCCTGCAACAAAAACTTAATCATTACAATCCAAGTAAAAGCTCAGTCACAAAGATAAAACTTGTTAAGCCTAGAAAAATGAAACTGGCATGCACTACATTTCATATAAGAAAAGATTATGAGCAGGATAAAGTGAAAACTAGTACCATATTGTTTACTCCACAAAATTAATATAAACTATTAAAGTTATTGAACATGTTAATAATCAACATAATATTTAGTGGAAAAAGTTCCATCCCACAATTAATAAACAACATATTTTGGTAAGAAAATTTGATAAGTTAGTTAAGGTTGTTCGTTTATTGCTTGAGCACAAACCTACCCAATAGGCTATCTGTGCTCTACCCATTCAAGTATCAAAACCCCATTTTTTAATGTTATAAGCACACAAACTTGTCATTGAACCACCAGGGGGTTTGACAAATAGGAGTGTGATCTCAAAATTACAAGCAAAAGGGAATGCTATAAACCCTTTCGAGACGGGTATAAGGGAATGCTATAAACCCTTTCGAGACGGGTTATGGGTGAAAGGCCATGTCATCTTGTTTGTTGACTCGCATTCAAAATTTTATTGAACTATTATTTCATGAATGTAAGTCAATAAGTTTGGTATCAAACTGTAGATTAGAATTCAAATTGTAGTACTATTCATTACTCAATTTCTTAATTTAAAAGTAAATATTAAAAGAAACATAGATAAACATCGATTTTTGTGTGTCACATGGTATATTGAATGCAGCACTGGTTCAAATTAGATGTTTGTGAAGTCAAAATACTAAGTCTATAGTTTTATACAAATTAGAAACTCAAATTACCAATATAGACAAGCTAGAAAATAAAATATGAAGGTCTTATCTTTTCTATTTGCTAAGATATTGCATATGTAATAAATCAAATACAGTGGCACCCCGCACACCTCTTTCCATTTTTGAAAATGCTCTCTTATATACACTTACTTCTACATATGACATGAATAACCAATTGGAAGCTCAGAATGTCCCCCTCGTGGCTTTCTCGGCCATTTTAAATTCTTAGGATGCCATTCTTTCTTTTGTACCAAGATTTTATACATAAAATCTAAAAAAAATTATTTGCAACATTTTTAAAGGCTTAGCAACCTACATCAAGCAGCAACTGAGTACAAAAGTACTAGAAGAGATAATTGGTTGCTTTATTTCTTTATTTACTGTTTTATGCTTTTAGACAAATAAGCTTAAGAACTTATTTCAAAATAGCAATAATCTATACATACATAATGTATAATAATTGAAATGTGACTGTATTTTACATAATACTAGTCTACTAAAACACAGCCAAGACAAGTTACTTTGTACAGACCAAAGGTCAGTTTTATGTTATTTGTACGCTAACATGAGTGCATGTGAGCCGCATCATTGTAGCTTCTGTATTGTTAGCCAGGCACGGCTGAAAGGTCAAAATAATAAATATATATATAAATGTATAATGTTATGAGATTTAAGATATTTAGTGTAAACATTTATGTTTTTGTGTTATATTTGTGTTTATTCTAGAATAAGAGGCAAAATTTATATTTATTTCTTAATTTTATATGGTGGTTGTGAGATCAGTCAAATATACCGAACCTGTACAGAGATTAATTACTGAAAATAACAGTTAAAATATAGTTTTTTCTTAAGAAATGTTTGATAACTGTCTGCACATTATAAAGATTTCACATGTGAAATTTAAAAATTTTCTGATGCATAAAAGTATTTTTAATCTTAAAATGAAAATTAGTTTGCATGACAGATAGGCAACATGTGAAAAGAAAAAAGCATGAGAAAAAACATTGTTTTACAAACTTCAAGACTTAATAAAAAAAAAATTATATTTTGCATACAAAAGCATTGTAATGTTTACTGATAATCTGCCAAATTTCATTAACAATCGCTTACTAATTTAAAAGTTATAACATGAAATCTATAACAAGCACAAAATGGTTACAATGTTGGTCCCATAAACCGAGCCCGTGCTGAAAGAGTAAAATATATGTTAAGCCAATTTCACAGCTTAAGGGATTTCTTATATCCTAAGTGTAAAATGTGCCATTATATATAAATATAACATTAGTTACAATCTTACCTTTTAATTAATACTTATTACAGTGCTGATACTCTACTTTCAGAAGAAAAAATATTATGAAAATAAGTCTAATTGGCACCAACATACTATATATATTCAGTTTATGTGGGGAGAACTGTTACCATTCAAAGAACTTATCCTTAAGAGACTGAGGTACCAAGCAAATATACCATACTATAGACAGTCCTCATCTCATTCCTACAAATGTTCTAGAACAACTCTTGTTCTTAATAATGCATCATAACTTGTGATTCTTATGATAAGCTTAATACTGATGAACATGCAACAAAATCATTCCTGTTCAAGACATTCTGTGCATTCTAACTAAACAGACTTTAAAACTTTGCTACATACCTGCTCTACCAGTCCTACCAATACGGTGGGTGTGAGTGTCAATATCACGAGCTACATCATAATTCACCACTGTTTTGATGTGAGGGATATCTAGACCTCGGGCTGGGAAGAAAGAGTAACAAGTATAAACGATACAGCTTTAATTCATCAAAAGTGTTTTACTATACTCACTAAAGTCAATTAGTGTTTCCACTACATATAGTATTATCACAAAGTTAGGTGACACCATACTGTGTCTTCAAAATGCATTATAGAAGCACCAAAATAACTTACCTCATCACCATCTTACAATATCGAATAAAGAATTACAGAAAAAATAGTAAAAAATAAACTATTAACTTCAATTTTTAAAAATGTGCAAAAGTTAACATCATCCTTTTTCGTAATTAGTTATTGATAATATTGGTAAGTCTTCCAAAACTCTTATCAACATGATTACGGGACTAGAAAAAGTGTCAGAAAATTTATATTTTTTCTTCCTAAAGTATTGTTATAATGAACCTGAAGCCACGGAATATATTGACATATTTCAGTAATACAGAGCTATCCAGTTTATTCTCACTCTTCTACGTGGAAGTTTTATATAACTGCAACATTAATTAAATAATTTTTAATTTTCTGCTGAGTTGTCACATATTTCTGTATTTACTCAGTTTCTGATAACTTCCTTCTTTCCATAGCAGGGGGATTGACCATCTGTAACAATATAACAAGGTTTTGGTTACTTGCAATAGATTTTACATATATGAAGGATTAATGACAGGATCCATGGTGCTCTTCAAGCTACTTCCACTGTCACTGATAGTGCTCGGTTTGATGATTAAGATTACACACTATTCTCTGAAACCACAATTTAAATCACTGGTTCTGTGGTGATCTTCAAACTACTTCAACTATCAATGATTATACTCAGTTTGATGACCATGATAAAGCATTCTTTGTGACATCACAGTTTCTATTGTAACAAGTTCCTGCAAAGACAAGTGAAGTCAATCTTATACTACAGATCTTCACAAAGTTTCCACAGAACCTTCACTGTATGCAGGTCCATGACCATGCATAACAAACTAAATGCACATTCACGTGACTTCACAGATACATATGAAAAGGGAATAACTTAGACACCAGTTTCATTCTTTACAGTTGCTAAAATGTTGCACTGAACTTAAAAGGTGTGACTTGATGCTTTATCCTGATGTAGCCATACCATCTTGACACCATGGCTACAGAGTGTAGAAACTTAATGCAAATGTAATGTAAGGAAGTTACATCATGATACAGAGAATGCAAGCAAAGTTAATACTTGATATTTATGATTGTCATAGGCTCATATCATGGGAAACTAAACTTTCATGAAATGCAAAGCAATAGTGGCTTTCTCAGCCATTTTAACAGGATTGCAGGCTTCCTTTCTTTTGAAACAATATTTCAACAAGGTAGGGTGTGTCTTTAGTCTGCTCAAAATTTCATGCTTTTTTAGACTAAAATACAGCTTAGTTACTAAGCTTGATAAATTATAGTGGAATTCTATGGTACTGATGTAGTAATTTACGATTTTTAAGTTCAAATGTATATATATAAAACCTAAAACAAATTATTTTGTTTCATATCCTCCACATGCAAAATTTTTAAAAGCTTATCAACCTACATAAAGCAGCAGCCGAGTACAAAAGTCATAACTAGAAGAGATAATTGTTTACTTTACTTCTTTATTTACTGTTTTATGTTTTAAGAATATGTTTAAGAACTTATTTCAAAATAGCAATAATCTATACATACATAATGTATAATAATTGAAATGAGACTGTATTTTACATAATACTAGTCTACTAAAACACAGCCAAGACAAGTTACTTTGTACAGACCAAAGGTCAGTTTTATGTTATTTGATACTGTAACATGAGTGCATGTGAGCCGCATTCATTGTAACTTCTGTATTGTTAGCCAGGCATGGCTGAAAGGTCAATATAATAAAAATATATAAATGTATAATGTTATGAGATTTAAGTTATTTAGTTTAAACATTTATGTTTTCTTGTTATAATTTGTGTTCATTCTAAAAGGAAAGAGGCATGATTTATATTTATTTCCTAATTTTTATGGTGGTTGCGAGAATGGTCAAATCTACTGAATCCATACAGAGAATAATTGCTGAAAATAACAAATAAAATATAAAGTTTTTTCTTAAGAAACATTTGATAGCTATCTCGATATTATAAAGATTATGCATGTGAAATTTGAAAATATTCTGATGCTTAAAAGTATTTTTAATCTTAAAATGAATATTACTTTGCATGATAGAAAGGCAACATATAAAAAGAAAAAACAGACATGAGAAAAACAATTGCTTTACAACCTTAAGACTTAATGAAAAAAATTGATATTTTGCATATGAAAGCGTTGTAATGTTTACTGATAATCTGCCAAATTTCATTAACATTG